GCCATAGTCTCTGGAAGCCAGCTGGGAGCCGGCTGGCTCCTACATTGGTAGGCCAGCTCCCTGGCTGTCCCCTCCCTTCACCGTCCATGCCCAGGGAAGACGTGGCCTTCTCAAACTGGAGGACTGGAAGCTTGAATGGACATAGAGGGTGGAGTGTGCTGATGGGACAAAAGAAAAGGGATCAAAATGTTTCTTTAGTTTTATTCTGTCATGCCTGGAACACGTGTGGCCTCAGATGGACAGGTGAGCCCACAGATGGAAGCAAAGTGGTGCTCAGTGCAGCAGACCATGGTGCCTGGCATGGCTCTGCGTGCCATCACAGAACCCTGAGCCAAATCCAGCGCAGGAGGAAGACCTGAGAAGGTAACAGGGTTGTACAGGTCCTGTATTTGATAGTCGTCGCGGCATCCTGGATCTTCCAGCCTGCGAGGGCTGAGGCGGATTCCTGAGGAGGGGCGGAGAAAGGGTCAGCGTCGGGCGTATCTTCCTGTTTCTTCCTGATCCAGTTGGAAAAATAGGAGACCTTGGTGAAGATGTTGGGGCTGGAGATTGGCTCTAGACATGCTGCAGTCCAGCTGGCCAGTCCTATCACATACCAGGCATCCTCCAGGGAGCAGACTAGGGGACCTCCAGAGTCTCCCTGAGGAGAGAGAAGACATAGCTAGGAGGTCCAAGAAGACCGAAACATACATTTCCCAGGGTAGAGGGGACTTCCTGGGACCAGATCTCTCTCTCTCTCTCTCTCTCTTTTTTTTTTTTTTTTTTTTTTTTAATAAAAGCATAGGAGGTCTCTCTGGTCAGGATCTTCACAGCACCATCATATACTTCCATATAACAAAGCTTCAGAAGGATCCTGTGCAGAAGGGAGCCTTCCATAGAGGTCCTCTGAAAGGCTCCACCCAACAGGGGATCGAAGCAGATGCAGAGACGCACAGACAAACTTTGGTGGGAGCACAGGAAGTCTTATGGAAGGAGGGGGCAGGAGCTCCACAAGAAGACCAACAAAGCCAAAAAATGTGGGCCCAGGGAGCCCTGCAGAGACTGCTGCACCAACCAAAGACCATGTATGGAGAGGATCTAGACCCCCTGCTCAGATGTGGCCAATGGGCAGCTCAGTCTCCATGTGTGTCCTTAAGTGAGAGGAGCAGGGGCTGCCTCTGTCATGAACTTGGTTGCCTGCTCTTTGATCACTTCCCCCTGGTGACGAGGCCTTGCCAGGCCACAGAAGAAGAAGATCCAGTCAGTCGTGATGATATTTGATAAGCTAGGGTCAGCTGGCAGGGGAGGAGGACTCCCCCTTTCAGTGGATTAGGGGAAAGGGTTAGGGAGGAAGAGAGAGGGAGGGCTGGACTGGGAGGAGCTGAGGAAGGGATATAAAATGAGTAAATCGTAAAAATTAAATGTTAAAGAATAATAAAAATAAAGGGACCCTGTGTTATACCTGGGGCAGTCACAGATTTTCAGTGTGTGTAGGTATGTGCGGCTGAGCATCTGCTCTCTGTCTCACCACCCACATGGGAGAGAAGGCTTCCAGGGACATTCGGGGTGGCCGCTGGCCGGGATTAGAAGGACGACTGGACCCAGCTGTAGATTCCGAGCCGTCCCCACTTACTCGGCAGATGGACTTTTCGTTGGTGAGGTCCCCAGCACAAATCATATCATCTCTTATAGCTTTATACTGAAGGGTGGTGATTTCTGGAGTCTGGAAAAAGGCTTCGCACTCACTGTCAGCCATGAGGAAGACCTCTGCGGCCTGCAGAGGGTAGGGAAACTTCAGGAACTCTGCAGGAGAATACGCAGCTATGAGATAAGGAAAGATCTGGCTCCCCTCCAGGATGGTCTCTGGTGGGGGACAGACACTCTAGGCCACAGCAACAGGGAGGGCCTCGCCACAGGCACACAGTGACCAAGGAAAACATCATGGCATAAGGGCCCATGCAAAGCAGGACCAGGCAGAAAGTTAGGGTGACTACAAAGGCCCCAGCATGGGGGAGGGAGCTGAGAAAGATTAGGTGCAATGAAAAAGGGGTCCCAGGCAGAGCTTTCTCCGCAAGCAAAGAGACCAAGACTATACCCTGAGGACACAGAAACCAAGGAAGGGACAACTCAGCTTTAGGACAGCTCTAGCTGTTCTGTGGAGCTGAGGCCAGAGGCAGGGACACTGGAGCCTACAGCAATGCCATAGGACAGGAGCCAGAAATGCTTAGGAGGATGACAAGAAGACCGGCTCCATCGAAAGAAGCAACTGGTTCTGGAGATGTGAATTCTGTTTCCAGGCGCTCTCAGAGCTGGCTGGAGTTGCAGAGTGATGGCAACATGGCTCTCTTCATGCAGGGGCCACTGTGGACATCCCTCAGTGGTGGTCAAGGGATGTCCGTATGTAGCAAATCCAAGCCTGCACGCAGGCCCAGCAACTGTGGTCAGGAGAGGGCCTAACAGAAGATGGCTGATGTCCTGTCTCTTACAGAGAGCTGCCCCGGCCACACTTTGCCTCTGTGTCTCCACTCTCATCCCCTGACCTGACCAGGAGATCCTACCTGTCCTCACATAGGCCGTCAAGAGACTGAAAGTCCATCCATTCTAATGCTGCTGGACCATTCTTCTGTTGAGCAGCCTGTGTGACTGTCACTTAGAAGCTAGGAGCAGGGAGGGGGACCCTAGCCCTGACCTCAGAGAAACTCCTACCTCCGAGCCTCCTCAAGGTTTCTTTGCCAGACTGTGGCCCAAAGTTTCATGTCAGTTTACATTCACTTTATTTTTTTATATTATTTTTATTTTTTGTGTGTTTTGCCTGCATGTATGTCTGTGTACCATGTGCATGCAGTGCACACAGAGGCCAGAAGAGGGCGGTGGATCCTCTTGAAACTGGAGCTACAAAAGGTTGTTAGTGGCCATATTGGTGCTGGGTCATCTCTCCAGCCCCTACATCAACTTTATTTAACTTGCCATTATAGGGTCTTAAATCAAAAGCATTCAGCCCTGTGTAAAGTCCTTGCCCAGGTGTCCTGTGCTCTCAGTCTAGACAGATACAGTTGTCCCTTGCTGTCAGCAGGCTTTTCCTGTGGCCCAGGATCCCAGACTGACTCCACAGACACTGAGTTTTCTCTGCAAAGCGTGTACAGAGAACCTGGGCTCACCTTCCTGTACACTTAAAATTGTGTCTAGACAACACAATGTCTGACGTGAGGCAAATGGGACAGAGACAGTCACAGTTCTGTATTGCTTAGAGAATAAGGACAAGGAGAATGTCAGTCCCCAACACTGAGGCTTTTGGTCCCCGGGTGACTGGGTCCATGGATTCAGAACCACGTGTATATGGGGCCAGTTGTAAAAGCTGGTGAAAGAGGCTTCCTTGCCTTAGGGGATGAGCAGTGAGGTTCAGAGAGGTGACTGATCCCCGGTTAAACAGCCCAACCTGCCCTTTGCCAGGGAGAGCCGGTTGCTTTTATCTCTTGAAGGATGGTCAGTGTCATCCCTGGCCAGGGTGGAGCAACCACTGCTTGGGGGGAGCCTTGCAGTGCACGGGGGTCAACCACACTCAGGACCCCGGATCTTGAAGGGCTCTGAGTCAAAGAGCCCGCACGCCCCATCTGAAGGGGAGGTTTGCTTCTGAAGCAGAAGGCGGGGTTCGCAGGCACCGGGAAGGCCTCCGGCCTCCCCCCCTCCCCCGTGGTACTCACTATCTTCTCTAAGCATGCCCCAGCCGCTTATCCAGCAGGCCTTGTTAGCCGGCACCTTCAAGGTGCTGTTCGGGACACAGACGGGAGAGACGTGGGAGTTGTACTCCACTTTCTTGTGAAGCTGAATCAGGACAATGTCACTCCCCTGAAAGTACAACTTGCTATAGTTCTCGTGCAAGATGAACAAGTTGACTGTCATCTGCAGGCTGAAGTTGGAAGGGCTGCTCAGCTTGCTGTACCCTAGCAGGATCCGGTAGTCAGATGGTTTGCGGGACCTATGGGGGGGGCAGCACCTCTAAGCGTGGGGTCTGCGCTGTCACCCCTGAAGGCCCCGCCCACCCCGCGAGCAGCCAGACCACACAACCCATCCAAGAGACTGCTCACTTCCAGCCCTGACAGGATCCCTCTCAGGGCTGCTTAGGAACTGTTTTTCAGAGCTTCTAAGAAAGACCTTAAAAGGAAAACTGTTTCCTAACTCTGGGCCTCTCCTCTCGTCCCTCTGTCGTCTGAGGGATAGCAATCCTGGTGACAGCACTCAAGGGCAGGGCAACAGCAGCAGGCCAGCTATCTATCCCACAGCACAGCCTAGAAGGGAATGGCGGCCATGCCTTCTTCCCTCCTCTTCTCCCGTCCTAGTGACTGTCTCCTGCACCCCTTCCCAGCAGAAGGGCCCCGGGAGGGAACACGCACCTTTGTAAGCAGTGGGCAGCGCTGACTAACCAGTTTTTGTCGATGAGAACTGCTCCACAGATGTGCCTGCCACGAAAGAGCAGACTGGCCTGCCACGGCCACCGCTCACAACCTGTGTTCTGACCACCAAAGATCTTCCCTTGGAATTTGCTCTTGCCACATACTGTGGAGACAATCGCAGCCGCGAGGCACCTGCATTCAGGATGCATTTGCTTGGTGCCCCAAGTGTTAGCATCAGCAGGGCCCAGGGGACACAGCGGCCTCTCCTCCCGTTCTTGGGTGCGCATGCCCAAGGCCGGGAGGGGCGTGGCAAGGCTCATGTGACAAAAATTGCCTCTTGGATGGTGAGGGTGGGGTGGGGTGGTTGTCAGGCCCACAGAACAGAGCTGAGGACAAGGAGAAGGGTGCTGCCCGGCAATCCTTGGACCTCAATAATTTAGCACAGCTCTGAAGACGTAGAAAGGAGATATTACTGTTCAGGGCCACGGTCTTTTGGGTGGGTGTGCCCTACCATCTCAACCCAGGAAGACTGTGGTGCAGCCCTCAGCACATGACCTTGACTCTGAACGGAGGGATCTAGGGATCCTTGAGAAAGAGCCAGAGAGGCTATGAGTATAAGGTCGTCAGTCCAAAGCCTCATCTTCAGTGTATAAAGGCATGCACACCCTCCCACTGCCTGTGATCCAAGGAAGAGGAGGGGATATGCCCACCAGAAAGAAACCTGCCTCCTCTTTGGAGCTCTTACCTTCCAACTTGATTTTCTGATGTTCTCGTATGGACTTGCCGTCCAACTTGATTATGGGTCTTTTTGTGGTCGTTCGGTTCTCTGTACTTAGTGACAAGAGGCTGAAACAGAATAGGAGAGTGGCCAGCAGGTAGGCTCCGCCCCTTCCCGGGCCTAATTTCTGGGCCCTAGCGCCCCACATCGCATCTGGCCGGCCTGTGTCTGGGTCCCAGACAAGACCGAAAGCACGTGCAGACAACCGCTGACTCTGGCAAACTGCCTCTAGGGAACATCTCCTCTCCCACCCCGACCTCGCGGGAGCCGAGCAAGTGTGCTGAAAACCTAGGTCCATGGGAGGCAGTCGGTACTGGAGCTGGTTGTCCTCAAGCTCTTCTCTCGGGCCTTCATGGGCACCTGCGCCTCCTGGGGGCAAAGGCCTTGATGGCATCCCAGAGCTTCCCCAGTTTCGTTCCATTACAATATGCAGCCTCATCACCCAGACTGGCGGGTCCCATCACCATCTATCTCATGAGCCCAAAGTTCACGGAACCATCATCATCTACCTCTTCTGTGGATGAGTCCCGACCACTAACCAACAAATACCGCCCTCGAGCACGGTTCTGGAAACTAATGTGCCTGCTGGGACTAGTGTTGGGTAAGTTAAGTTCACACACAAAAGGTAGGTTGGACAATGAAGAAAATACAGGGAAGGTGCTGGACTAAAGTAGGTTTTAGGCCCTTTTGGACAAACTCATTAGAGTTCAAGGCCTGGAGAAAGCATTCCCTGGGACTTAGAGGTCTGTTCTTGGGAGTCTTAGCCAGTCAGCGGCTTCTTCTTCTTTTTCTCCTCCTCCTCCTCTTCTGAGACAGGGTTTCTCTGTGTAGCCTTAGCTGTCCTGGACTTGCTTTGTAGACCAGGCTGGCCTCGAACTCAGAGATCTGCTTGCCTCTGTCTCCCAGAATGCTGGGATTACAGGCATGAGCCACAGAGCCCAGCTGCTGCTGCTGCCTCCTTCTCCTCCTCCTCCTCCTCCTCCTCTTCCTCCTCCTCCTCCTCCTCCTTCTCCTCCTTCTCCTCCTTTTTTCCCCTTCCTCCTCCTCCTCCTCCTTTGCCTCTCTCCTCCTTCCCTCCTCCTCCCTCCCTCTCCTTTTTTTTTTTTTGGCAGAAAGTAGCACATATTTGCATGTGGGCACATATACAAGTTCCCTGCCAGGAGAAACAAGACAGATTGGAACAGGGCGTGCTTTCTGTGTGTCCCCAGGATTGCTTGCTGGGGCCGTTTTGTAGCCATAGTTGTGTGGAGCACTTCACGGTCATTGTGTGTGTTTCATCAGGCTTTTCAGCATCCGTATATGAAATGCTTCCTCCTCTGCCCTGGCCACCTGAAGAGACAAAATGTGGACAGGGCTCTGAGGTATACCACATGCCCTCAGCTCTGACAGCGACCTTCCGGTGAGGAGCGCTCACGCTCTTGAAATGTTTCTAGAACAGAAATCGTTTTCAATCGAAAGCATTTTGTAGGCCCACTCAGTGTCTTAGCTCTTACCACACAGAAAATGTGAAGTAGTTTATTCAGAAACAAGCATCAGTTAACACAGTCCACAAACCCAGACTGGGGTTTCTCTAAATGGCATGTCCTATGGTGGAAGAGGTTGCAAGAGCCTCACAATCAAGAAACAAAAACTTATAGCCAACACGTTTACTAAATATGGTGGGGAGGATAGGAGGGAGGCCTTATGAATGGGGAAGTTCCTAGGAAGCCACGTCGCTGTTGGAGTCTACAAGAGTGCCTGTGCTGGGTTTTGCCAACTTGACACAAACTAGAGTCAGATGGGAGGAGGAAAACTCAGTTGAGAAAAAAAAAATGCCTCTATGAGGTTGGCCTGTAGGCATGTTTGTATCCCGTTTTCTTGATGGTTGATTGATTGATATGGCAGGGCTCAGCCCACTGGGAACAGTCCCACCCCGGGCAGACTGTACCGGCTGGTAAATAAGGTCCATGATCCCTGAAGCAAGCCAGTGAGCAACATTCCTCCATGGCTTCCACCTCTGCTCCCGCTTCAGTTCCTGCCCTGATTTTCTTCAGTGATAGACTGTGATTGGGACTTGTAAGTCAAATAAGCCCTGTCTCCCCAAGCTGCTTTTAGCCCTGGTTCTAATTACAGAAACAGATACCAAAATACTATACTGAGTGACTGGTTAGAACTTCCATAATTATTTAGTGACCGATTAGAACTTCTATAATTGTTTCTCCAGTAGCCACAAAGACGTTAGGTCAGACACAGAGGTGGGAAACCAGTGGCTATTAAGAGGGCTAAGATAGCCGAAAATAGGGCTAGCCGGGTGGCTTAGCAGTTAAGAGGACCAGAGCTGGATTCCCAGGACCCACATTTGGCAGTTCATGTCCTATAACTTGAGCTCCAGGGGACTCTGACACCTTCTTCTGGCCTCTGTGAGCAACTGTGCTCATACGTACCTCACCTCACACAGGCAGAAACACATACATGTACATTATTTTTTTAGATTTATTTATCTATTAATTACACAGCATTCTGCCTGCATGTTTGTCTGTGCACCAGATCTCATTATAGATGGTTGTGAGCCACCATGTGGTTGCTGGGAATTGAACTCAGGACCTTTAGGAAGAACAGCCAGTGCTCTTAACCTCTAAGCCGTCTCTCCAGCCCCACATATACATTATTAAAAGTAAATTGTAATTTTTTTAAAAAAGGGCCCTGTTTACAATTTCCTTTTTCTCTACAACTATAAAAAACTTCCATGAAAACTGTTACCACATTGGAATACAGTATTTGGAATAAACTGATCCTTGTTCTTGAGCCATAGTGACTCATATTTGGTTCCAGGATAAACTCATATGAGTGTGTGTGTGTGTGTGTGTGTGTGTGTGTGTGTGTGTGTGTGTCTGCGTGTGCATGCACGCGCGGCTTCCATAAGTTCTATAAGCTACCTAGTGCTAATCTTGTAACAGAAATGAATCCTGATCAGCAGGGAAATCAGCTGTGTGCTCAGATGGAAAAGGAGAAAGTCTTTTATTAGAAAGACAAGCTGGCCAGTTGAGTTCATGCTCCAGAAAGGACTGGACCCCAATTACACATTCATACAGCATACGTAAGTTTTAGCACCGGTTACTTTAACATTTTCAGCATCGTTATAATCAAACTGGGGTCTTCACAGCCATCCACGAGTGCTCTTAGCACCTCGTGGCCACTGAGGGGAAATCGCAGCCTTTCCAGAGGGCAGCCTTCATTCCAGAACAAAACTCCAACCAGTCTCCCTCAGGACTCTTGGGCCAATCCCCCGAACAACAGCAACAACAAATTTCTGACTTTTGTATGTAACATTTTAGGTGTGGCAAAAAGTTTTAGTTCCTCATAGCAGGTGACAAGGAACATGGAAGAACCAACCATCAATTGAGAACACAGACTGCTTCTTAACACTCTGCCTCAGAGAGAGGCATGGCTTGATTCGGGCCCTAATGGTGCAGAGTTTGATCTAGCACCCCCAAGCCAAATGACATGGGTTTCATTCCCATAATCCCCATGGTGGAGGGAGAGCATATATTCCTCTGCACGTTGCCCTCTGACCTCTACATGTTCACACATGCATGTTCATGTACATACACAGACACACACACACACACACACACACACACTCCCATTCTAAAAGCCACTAAGCATGACTCTTAGAAGCCTATAATAGGCTTCCTTCCTCCCTGACTGCCTTTCTATTTTTAGAAAGTGGTTCATTCTGAAATTCCTCTTCACACCAAAGCCTTGAATCCCAGCCTTGCCTCACTGGAGGTCTCTGAAAAGTTTTATGTGCCTACCTTAATAAAAAACCTCAAAGGACAAATACTCAAACGTCCCACACTTTATTCTCTCCAAGGGTGTGTGTGTGTGTGTGTGTGTGTGTGTGTAGACCAGAAGCTGATTCTTGATTCTTTAGTCACGCTCCACATATTTTGAGGCATCATCTTTCACTGAACCTGGAGATCACAGGTTTGATGAGATTGTGACAGAAGGGCAGGAACTTTAAAAAGCAGAATGAAGACTGGCATGTGAAAGGAGCCAGGTTATTGAGAAAGCCTGGAGACCCTTTCGTAGCTTGCTAACATCTAACAGAGCCAAAGGGAAACAACATGGCTTTCTGGGCTTTGTCCCACGGTGACTTCTCTGGCCCCGTTCTTTGGAACCGGTGAACCCTCCGAGAGCTGCTCCCAATAAACCTGCATTTAATTACTTGTCTTGAATTGGCTCATTTTACCAGCTGAAGATAAACCTTAGGCATCTTGCTCAACACTCTTCCTAAACCCAACCGTCACATCAGGCTGCCTTGAAAACCAAGAGTCTCCAAAAAGTGCTTCAAGGGTCTTCTGAGCTCCGGTTCTGTCTTTTGACCTTCATGGCAATCCTATGAAGTTGGCAGATTTACAAAGTCCATGTGTTCTAGATGAAAAAACAAAAACAAAAACACAAAACCTGAGCCAGGTGAGCTATATAGAGGGCATAGCCATCGGGGTGCTCAGAAATGCGGACCACTGGCTGCAGCCTTTTCCCAAAATCTCCCAGGAGACGCTGCAAACGAGGATGTGCTGGGACCGCGGAGTTCCAGTGGATTCTGAAAGTTCAGGACCAGGTGAAGCTCACAGCTAATAAACTTACTGATCACGTGGCTAAATAACCATGTTTCCGAAACATCGGTTTATAAATAGGATCTTGTTAAAAATCGGTCTCGTGACCTTAGTACTTTGTAATGTGGGTGCTAGGAGGAAAAAAAAAAAAAAAACAAACCTGTGGGTGCGATAGTGTGTTCTGGGACTGCCTCCCACTCCCACATGGCACCTTCTCTGTCCAGAGGATTTGAACATGTCTGTCTGCTGAGAGGGGTGCCTGGCCTTCCGGATTGGCTTCCACCACCCACTAACATAATCCCAGGAAATGTGCTGAATAGGACCGGCATTAAATCTCCTAACCCGCGAAATGGAGACCATATCCATACTATAGACCCGCGCCAAGAACCCAACGCGTTCGCAGCCATCCACGTGGAAGGCACCAGGACCTAGGGTTGGTGCGGAACCTGCGTGGCCTGCGGTCCTGGTGCCACCTGCACAGCTCTGCGGACAGCTCACTGCTGCCCCCAAGTGGGAAGTCGAGAGAGGCCGCGTTTGCAGAGAGACGGCA